GGGTGGGAGATAGATAGATAGAAGGAACATTCCAAGAAGTAATATTGCTTCAACCTAGGCGTGCTAATGTTATGGGGGTTTTTTTGGTTTTTTTTTTTTTTTACACCTAAGCCAGATTCCTGCCAGATTATATTTAAAAATTTTTAGGCTTATTATGTTTTAGTTAGGGCTCAAGGAACACAGATTTACTTAAGTTGGCTTAAAAAAATAAAGACCAAGGAACAAAATCAGTATTGTTGGGCACTAGGGACATTGGAACTGAGACCACATTAAAAACCTAGGGACTTTGCTTTTATGGATCTCCTAGTCTCCTTCAGGTCATCTCTGTGCATCCATTCTCTTTCTGTGTTGCCAATCTCTCTCATGTACGTGCTTTTTACTCTCATATTTGACTTATAAATGGCCGTCATCACTACTCCTGACCTTTTTGTCACTTCTTGAGTCATAATGCTTCTGGTTTAGTTCCTGATGTTAAATGGCATAATACAAAAAAATGACGACTATCCCTCACTAGACTAAGTGGGCAGAGTGGATTCTTTTAAAAGTGTCCCCAACTAGAGAGTTAACATTTTTTAGGGCATGTTCTGAATAGAACTTTGGATTCTTCTTCTTCTTTTCTTTTTAAGATTTTTATTTATTTAAGAGAGAGCAAGAGTGAGCATGAGCGGAGTGGGGGGTGCAGAGGGACAAGCATACTTCCCGCTGAGTGAGGAGCCCTACGTGGGGCTTGATCCCAAGACCCTGAAATCATGACCTGAGCCAAAGTCAGATGCTTAACCGACTGAGCCATTCAGGTGCCCCAGAACTTTGGATTCTTGATTCCTGTTATGGCAGACCTAAGAAGAGATTGAAAACAATATATTTGTCTTTAAAGTGGTTTTTTTGGATACTTGATTCTTATAAGTTAGCTGCTAGAAAATTCCGTGACCAATATGTGGTCCATTCTTTCTTTCTTTAAAGATTTTATTTATTTTTTTGAGAGCGAGAAAGAGAGTGTGCATGCACGAGTTGGGGAAGGGAGAGGGAGAAGCAGATTCCCCACCAAGTGCAGAGCCTGAGGGAAGGCTCCATCCCAGGACCCTGAGATCATGACCTGAGCTGAAGTCAGCCACTTAACTAAACCACCCAGGCACCCCATTCATATTATATTTAATTTTGCCTTATTCACAGTTCCATTTTTGAACTTAAGGATTATGTCAGGTTTTTAATTGTGATTAAATAAAATCTCTTTTTAAAAATTATGAGAGGGGCATCTGGGTGGCTCAGTCATCTAAGCATTCAACTCTTGGTTTTGACTTAGGTCATGATCTCAGGGTTGTGGGTTCGAGCCTTGCATGGGGCTCAGTGTGGAGTCTGCTTGGGATTCTCTCTCTCCTTCTCCCTTTGTCCCTCCCCCCACTCTCACGCTCTCTCTAAAATAAATCTTTTTTAAAAAATTGGGGTGCCTGGGTGGCTCAGTTGGTTAAGCAGCTGCCTTCGGCTCAGGTCATGATCCCAGGGTTCTGGGATCGAGCCCCACGTTGGGCTCCTTGCTCGGCAGGGAGCCTGCTTCTCTTTCTCCCTCTGCCTGCTATTCCATCTGCTTGTGCTCTCTCTGTCAACTAAATAAATCATTAAAAAAAAAAAAAAAAAGATTTAAAAAACTGGGAGAAAATAAATAATAAATAAAACTTGTGGTAAAATATATGTAACATAAAATTTCCCATCTTAAAGAGTGTAGTTCAGTATTAAGTACATTCACATTGTTTTGCAGTCTCCAGAACTCTTTTCATTATACAAAACTGAGATTCTACCCATTAAAAAACTCCCCAGACCCTCCTCCCCACAGCCCAACAATCACCATTTTATTTTCCTCTGAATTTGACTATTTGAGGTACCTCATATAAGTGGAATCATTCAGTATTTTTGTGTGTGACTGGTTTATTTCACTTAGCATAGTGTTCTCAAGGTTCATCCATGTTGTGGCATGTGTCAGAATTTCCTTCCTTTTTGAGGCTGAATACTACTGCAATGTATGTATATACGTTTTGTTTATCCATTCATCTGTCAATGGACATTGGGTGGCTTCAGCCTTTTGGCTGCTGTGAATAATGCTTTTATGAACATGGGTGTACAAGTATCTTTTTGAGACCCTGATTTGAATTCTTTTGGGTATATTCCCAGAAGTGGAATTGCTGGATCATATGGTAATTCTATTTTTAATTTTTTAAAGAACTGCCATAATGTTTTCCACAGCAGCTACACCAAATTACATTTCCACCAACAATGCACAAGCATTCCAGTTACTCTGTATGCTTACCAACACTTGCTTTTTTTTTTAATAGCCTTCCTAATGGGTGTGAAATGGTAGTGTTATTTCTGTAATATTGCATTCAGATTTATAAATAACATAGTTGGCCTCTATTAGACGTCTGGATTGTTTCTAAATTTTTATTGTAACAAATGCAGTAGTGATTATCCTTGGATATAAATCTTTGTTTAGATCTTTTATTTCTTCATAAGAGACTCCTAGCAGTAGAATTATTGGTGAAGGTGTATCAACTTTATAAGGCATACATATTGCCAAATTGCTTTCTAGAAAGATTATATCAACTAGTATTAAGATCCCTCATTGGCATTAAACATTTTTTCTTACATTTATTACCCATTTTAATTTTTCCATGGTTTTTATATTCACAGTTTTTTGGTTTTGTGCATTTTGAGTAATTTAAAAACCTGTTAAAAAGTTTTATATGTATTATAGTAAAACCTTGGCCAGTGTGATTAGACCACTGTTAGTCAATCAAAATGTCAGAACCAGAAAATCACAAAAATAACTACTGTACTCGAAACATTTTTATATATAAGCATATATATAAGCATACACACACACAAACCCCAGTTTTGTCTTTTTTCTTTTTTTAAAGATTTTATTTATTTAGTTGAGAGAGTAAGCAAGCGCAGAAGCAGAGGGAGTGGCAGGCAGAGGGAGAACCAGGTTCCCCACGGAGCAGGGAGCCCCATGCCAGCGATCTCAGGATCCTGAGATCATGACCTGAGCCAAAGGCAGATGCTTAAACCACTGAGCCACTCAGGCGGCGCCCCCCCAGTCTTTTCTTTAATTAGAAGTTTGCTAGAGGTCAGCTGATTGAAAAACAGCATTACCTTTTGATTTTGGTGTTTGATTTTTTTAGACAGTATATCCATAATGCATGCATCATCTGGGATTTCAGGTTTCCTTTCCCTCCATTAGATTGTACATTTAAAGACACTTTTAATGCAGTCTTGGTATAGTATGCTTTTATATTTTTTTCAAATTTTTTTCTTAAATCTTTTATGGCTTCTCATCCATACCTAATTTGAAACCATTTGTTTTAGTTAATAACTTTTATCAAATATTTCTAAAGCATTTAATTTAGTTTACGGAGAAACCACTCAGTATCTTTAAATATTTTGTCTCTGTGCCAGACATTTAAGTTACATAAAGACAGGTTTACCATAAACAGACTCATGCATACATGAAAATCAGATATATGAGAGAGGTAGCATTGAAGATCACTCAGCTAAGGATGAACTGGTCAGTAAACAGCGTTGAGCCAATTGGGTATCCTTATGAATAAAAGAAACTGGATCTCTACCTCCCATCATAAACAAGTTAATTACCTTAATTTAAGATTTACATTAAAAAAAGCAAATGTAAATGCTTTTATAAGAAAATACAAGAGAATATGGTTTTGACTTTATTATAGAAGAGGTTTTTTTAGTTTAATGTAATCAAAAGAAAAGATTGACATATTCTAATTAAAATTCAGCGCTTCTCAAGAAGACAAACCACAGATTAGGAGAAAATATTTGCAAAACACATATAAAGAAATGTTACTCAAGGGCCGCCTGGGTAGCTCTGTTGGTTAAGCGTCCGCCTTCGGCTCAGGTCATGATCTCCGGGTCCTGGGATCGAGCCCCGCCTCAGGCTCTCTGCTGTGGAGGGGAGGGGTCTGCTTCTCCCTCTCCCTCTGTGATCTCTCTCGCTCTCTCTCAAATAAATAAAACCTTTAAAGAAAAGAAATGTTACTCAAAATATACAAAGACCTCTTAAAACTCAACAATGAGATAATGAATAACCTGATTTAAAAATGAGCAGAGGACTCAGCGGGGAGCCTGCTTCTCCCTCTGCTTACTGTTCCCCCCTGCTTGTGCTCTCTCTCTCTGGCAAATGAATAAATAAAATCTTTTAAAAAATAAAAATGAGCAGAGGAACAGGACATCTCACTGAAGAAGATCTATAGATGGCAAATAATCACATGAAAATATACTAAAAGCATTATACGTCATTAGGAAATTGCAAATTAAAACAACAATGAGATACCACTTACACACCTATTAGAATGGCCCAAGTGCAAAACACTGACAGCACCAAATGCTGGCAAATCTGTGGAGCAACCGGAATTCTCATTTATTGCTGGTGGGAATGCAAAATGGAACAACTGGATGACAGTTTGGCAGTTTCTTACAAAGTAAACATATTCTTACCATATGATCTAGCAGTTGTGCTTCTTCGTATTTACTCATATGAGTTGAAAACTTATCTCCACTCAAAAACCTGCACACACATGTTTATAGAACCTTCGTTCATAATTGCCATGGCTTGGAAGCAACCAAAAAGTTAATGAAGAATAAATAAACTGATATATCCATACAGTGGGATATTATTCAGCACTTTAAAAAAAAAGCTATCAAGACATGAAAAGATGTGGAGGAACCTTAAACACTTATTACTAAGTGAAAGCCAATCTGAAAAGGCTACTGGCTATGATACCAACTATATGACATTCTAGGAAAGGCAAAACTACAAAGACCGTGAAGAGATCAGTGGTTGCCAGGCGTCGGGGGATGGGAGGTATGAATAGGTAGAGTACAGAGAATTTTTAGGGCCTTGAAACTATTCTGTATTATACTACAGTGGTGGATACATATCATCATACTTTTGTCACAAGCTATAGAAGGCCATCAAAAAGAATGAAATCTTGCCATCTGCAACCACATGGTTGGAGCTAGAATGTATTATGCTAAGTGAAATAAGTCAGAGAGACAAATACCATATGATTTCACTCATGTGGGATTTAAGAAACAAAACAGATGAACATAGAAGAAGGGGAAAAAAAAGAGGGAGGCAAACCGTAAGAGACTCTTAACTTTCTTAACGATAGAGAACAAATTGAGGGTTGCTGGAGGGGAGGTGGGTGGGGAATGGGCTAAATGGTTGATGGGTGTTAAGGAAGGCACTTGTTATGATGAGCACTGGGTATTACATATAAGCACTGAATCACTAATTTCTACCTCTGCAACCAATATTAACTATATTGGTTAACTGTTAACTAACTAGAATTTAAATAAAAACTTAAAAAAAAAAAAACCTATAGAATATACCACACCAAGAGTGAACCTTGGGCACCTGGATGGCTCAGTCTGTTGGGCGTCTGCCTTCAGCTCGGGTCATGATCCCAGAGTCCTGGGATCAAGCCCCACGTTGGGGCTCCCTGCCCAGTGGGAGCTTGCTTCTCTCTCTCCTTCCCGCTTATACTCTCTTCTTGCGCTCTCTCTCTCTCTCAAATAAATAAATCTTAAAAAAAAAAAAAGTGAACCTTAATATAAGCTATGGACTTGGGATGTTAATGAGGTGTCAGTGTAGGTTCATGATTGTAACAAATCTACCACTCTGGTGTGGGATGTTGGTAGCTGGCGGAGACTGTACATTTGTGAGGGCAGGAAGTATATAGGAAATCTCTGTACCTTCTATCCAAATTGGCTCTGAACCTAAAACTGCTTTTAAAACAGTCTTTGAAAAAAAATTTAGGACTTCTCTTCATCAAATGTCATCATAAAGAGGTGAGAAGACAAGTCAGGATAAAGAAGATATTTCTTCCTTGGAAATAAGAAAGTTGTGAAAAGATGTTCAACCTCATTAGCGATTAGGAAAAGGGAAATTAAAACAATTCTCCCCATAAGATTCATTTTACACCCACTCGACTGGCAAAGATTAAGGAGTTTGGATAATGCCAAGTATTAGTGCATATAAAATGGGGACTCTTATTCAACAGTAAGGATAGTGAACACTGACTTTGGAAAAGTCTGGCACTGTTTTGTAATAACAATAATAAACCCAATACATATTGACATAAATATATTTAGACGGAAAACAATTATTTCCAAAAAGAAAATAAGAAGTCACTGTTTTACATTTTTGCAAATGTCTGGCTTAATAGAAGACAGCTGAATTTTCATATCTGCTTCACACATTCCATTAACCCACAGGATGGTGCTGTCATCACACATAATGTAGTCTCTGGAATACCTCACTCTCCACTCTTGATTGAGAAAAAGTCAAATAATGTCTTAGTGTTATGAAATAGTTTTGGCCTCGGGGACCTGAGAGACCTGACGCCACCACACTTGGAGAATTGCTGTGCCAGAGAGTAGACTACTAGCCATGAGTATCTGGTATGTTATAGGTAGCAGCTGTTATTTAAAGGGATGATTGAAGAGTGAAATTAAGTCACTATCTTGAGAGGGAGTAAGAGAGCTTCCACCATGTAACAATGATTTAAATCTCAACCTCAATTAGCTCCAATTGTACTTTGCGTGTTTGCTTCAAGAAGAAAACCTATTTGAGTCCCTTCAGTTTTCCTTCCTCGGGCAACACTATCATGAATTGAATGGATATCCCTCTAGTCTGGAGGGGTTTATTGGGGGGGGGGGCTCTGTGTGTGTGTTTATATATCTAATTTGTGTGTACTCATGAAGAATAATATGTTTTCTGTGTTTCAAATTTATATAAACAGTTCTCTTGTGTGTTTTAAAATATTTTATGTATAAATAATGTATTAAACCTTTATGCAAGACAGGGCGGGGTGCAAATCTTAAGGTTTTATCTTTTTTTCTGTTAATTTTGCTTATTTTTCCAAAACATACTGCATTTTCTCTTTCAGAATCCTTGAAAAATGGCTCTGCTGCAGATGGTGGGAATAAAGTTTATTCTTTTCAGAATAGAAAACACTCTGAAAAGATGGCCAAATTAGGTATGTTGCTTTTCTAAAAGGTGTATTTAACCACATTCTCCACAGTTATCATCTTATTGCATTCCCTAGAAGAATGAGGGATGTCATTTTATATCACATTTTCAAGCATACATAGTCAGTTTTTCATGCTCATATGTGTCTTCTGTTCTCAGATAGGTTTTGTTGTTTTTTGTTTGTTTGTTTTAGATTTTATTTATTTATTTGAGACAGAGAGAATGAGAGAGAGCACATGAGAGGGGGGAGGGTCAGAGGGAGAAGCAGGCTCCCTGCCGAGCAGGGAGCCCGATGCGGGACTCGATCCAGGGACTCCAGGATCATGACCCAAGCTGAAGGCAGTCGCTTAACCAACTGAGCCACCCAGGCGCCCTCTCAGATAGGTTTTAAGTGTCTCATAGTAGGAATCCTGTCTTCATCTTCTTCCCACATGTAGCATAGGTTCTGAAGAAATTTTTAAGTTTGTGAGTGACTTAAGTCACAGATATTCTGAATTTATTAAATAAGAATTTTATGCTATGTATAGAAAAATGTATTGTAGGGGCCCCTGGGTGGCTCAGTCATTAAGCATCTGCCTTCGGCTCAGGTCATGATCCCGGGGTCCTGGGATTGAGCCCCGCATCGGGCTCCCTGCTTGGCAGGAGGCCTACTTCTCCCTTTCCCACTCCCCCTGCTTGTGTTCCCTCTCTTGCTGTGTCTCTCTCTGTCAAATAAATAAATAAAATCTTTAAAAGAAAAGAAAAATATATTGTCGTAAACTATAAAATTGTTACAAATGGGCTATTGTGACATTTTCGTACTCAATTTGCCACTTACACTAATTACACATGAATTACTGATTTTTAGAAAAACCAGACTAAAATAAATTACATTTAACATTAAAATTAAACTGTCAATCCAGTTAAAATTCAGACGGCACTTTATTTGGGTTCTGTGGTATGAGGGGTCAGATTTGAAAGCTTTGAGGAAGGGAAATAACATGTGAAAGCAGTTTGAAAATTGAGGTCCATAAGTATATGAAGGTTTGGGAACACCAAGAAGTCAAGAGTAAGGGAATAATAATTAACTACCCGGTAAAATGTAATAGTTGTTTAATAGGGCTTATAATGTATAATTACAGAACACCAACATATATTTCTGAAGTGGTGTATTTTTATGCAATCATTCTGGCCAGTAACCAGGTAAACATTCAAGATCAAGTGAAAAACTTAAGTGTTGACACTGATGAGGGACATATAAGTAATTATAAGACCTATGTTTAGAACATAATAATGTTTAATCACTTGCAAAATTCAGTTTTTCCAAAAGGTATAATACGAAATTCATTATTAATTTTGAAGCTAGCATGGTATGTACAATAATTTACATTAACTGATCTGTTTCTTAGTGTTTATAATCCACATCAAGAAATTGAAAGTTTTTCAACCTGTAAAAAATGACTGCATTCTGAGTAGGATCTCTGGGAAACCAGAGAATAAATGTTAAAACAATTATTAGAGAAAGGATCAGATAGACACCAAGACTAACCTGAAACCCCAGAACCATGAAATAGGACAAAGAACATTGGAGAAAGAGAACTAATAGTGGAGAGGAGCCTCAGAAAAGTAATCAAGTAGAAGTTCTCCAAGTAGATAATCAACATGCATATAATAACCATGATGTATGTCTTACATTATATGGGCTGCAGGAAACTTAAGCATTGTTATGTTGTATATTTCTGTCATCATAAATGAAAGAAATATATAGTCATGGGGGCGCCTGGGTGGCTCAGTCGGTTGGGCGTCTGCCTTCAGCTCAGGTCATGATGCCAGGGTCCTGGGATAGAGCCCCACATTGGGCTCCCTATCCAGCGGGGAGCCTGCTTCTCCTCCCGCTCCCCCTGCTTGTGCTCTCTCTCTCTCTGAAATTTTAAAAAGAAAAAATATATACAGTCATGAAAAGATGGTTTTCTGGTTAATTTGAGATTGATCATACTTTCTAAAATCTATTTAGTTAGGACTCATGTTTAGTTGTAATGCTCTTTAAAGAGTTTCTTTGACTTACTAAGTATTGTTGCTAATTGTGTTTACATCTGATTATATCAGTGAAGTAGAAGGCCTTAGTATTTTTTTTTTTAAAGGTTTTATTTATTTGAAGGACGCCTGGGTGGCTCAGTTGGTTAAGTGTCTGCCTTCGGCTCAGGTCATGATCCCGGGGTCCTGGGATTGAGTCCCACATTGTGCTCCTTGCTCCACGGGGAGCCTGCTTCTCCTTCTGCCCGCTCCCCCTGCTTGTGCATGCACTCTCTCTCTCTGACAAATAAATAAATAAAATCTTTAAAAAAAAAAAGATTTTATTTATTTGAGAGTGCGAGCAGGGGCAGAGGCCGAGGGAGCGGGAAAGGGAGAAGCACAGATCCCGATGCAGGGCTTGGTATCAGGATGCCGATATCATGACCTGAGCCAAAGTCAGACACTTAACCAACTAAACCACCCAGGTGCCCCAGCCTTAGTATTTTTTGAATAACTCTAACCTGCCATAAAATCGTATATTACTGTGTATGGATGATTAAATATAATTGGGCTAATGAAGATATAGGACTAGATATAGGAGTTAGACAGGGAGGCTTTTTAAAATACATGTTTGGGATGAGTAAATTAATGCAAACAAAAGAGCAAAGGTAGAAGTACCAAGTAGAGGACAGTAAGGAGTTCAGTGAGCCTGTAGAAAGGGATGACTTTAGGAAATTAAAAATAGATTGGATGATAGGATAAATAATAGCCTAATGAGAAGGCAAAGATTTTAAAATTTTATTTTAAAATTTCCAATATGGGGCCCCTGGGTGGCTCAGTCGTTAAGCGTCTGCCTTAGGCTCTGGTCATGATCCCAGGGTCCTGGGATTGAGCCCCTAGTCGGGCTCTCTGCTCACTGGGAAGCCTGCTTCTCCCTCTCCCACTCCCCCTGCTTGTGTTCCCTCTCTCTCTGTCTCTCTCTCTATCAAAATAAATAAATAAAATCTTTAAAAATGAATAAATAAAATTTCCAATATGTTGCAGGCCAGTTGTGTAAAATACAATACAAATGAATTATTAGAAAAATGAAAAAGATACAGAATATATGCCCCAATTTTATTAGTAGAGTCAATAGCCATATGTGATTAACTGTCTTTTATTCTTTTTCCTCTTCAATTCTTCCTTTTCCTTCCCTTTTGTAGTTTAATAGTTACTTAAAAACAGAATTTTTCCATGTTGCAACATATAACCAAAATGATCCCAGCTAAATTACTTTGTGCTTATGTCGCTTTTTGTTGATGTGAAGTTTTTTTTTTCCTATCCTTTGGGTCAACAGCCTTTAATCCAAACATAGTACATTATTCTGGTGTAAAGAGAAAGCAAAGGGCTGATTTTTAGGCATACTTAGAGAATGTGTAGAGGAGACAGCAGGGAAGAGATGGAATAGCTACCAGCAATAGCTGGGGGCCGGAATAATGTCATAGAACCCAAACGCAGGAATAATTTCAAAGAAAGAAAAAAAAAAACCTCTAGTGAATGATACAGAAGACTGAGGAGGTTAGTTAAAAAAGAAGGCAGTACATTTGTGGGGACTGTCAGAGTATTTTGGATCAATTTCAAGTTTGGAGGATAAAACTGTGAAACAGGAAGAGTTTGAGTAAAGTGGCTTTAACTTACACAAATTCAAGTGTACTTTCTCCTTTAAAAAAAATGGGGATATAATGTTCACTTTCTTCTCAGTGAACAACGTGCCAGTGTGTGTTAAATTGGGAAATATAAATCTATTCCTTAGTTAGGCTTCATTCCACATGCCTCTCACGCTACTGAGAAAGTAAGTATCTTTAAAGGTAAAGATTTTAGTTTTCCTTTAAAATGGCCCTATATTTTAGAAGCCAACTATTTAATTGAAGAAACAGCCATCTGTTCAATGCTATATTAAATTTTATATGTTATTCACATGTATTATAGAGTTTTAGACACAAAATAAAATATACCACATGTGATGGGAGATTTAAGAGTTTTTAAAGCATAAAATTTTAAATATACACAGCTTCCATTTGATTTTAGATCCTATTTTCTGGCCATTCTTACCCCTAGGAAAGATATGCCTCAAATATATATGTTAAAGAAATGGAAAGAGTGTAAAATTGCCTATGGAGAGGAGAGGGAGAGAGAATGACAATTACAGAAAGCAGTAAGGTCAAAACTGTTTATTTGTATTTTCTTGAGACACCTGTAGATAATTGAAAGAAGACTTAAGATGCTTGGAACATAGCAAATGAAGGTAAGAGGCAGTACTCTTAATATGGGTAGGTTTATTTATCTTCCTGGTAATAGTAGCAGGCAGGTTTCTTTTTTTTTCCCCTAAGAATTTATGTAAGCGAAGGGCACCTGGGTGGCTCAGTTGGTTAAGCAACCAACTCTTGATCTTGGCTCAGGTCTCATGGGTCATGGGATTGAGTCCCACGTCAGGCTCTGCACTCAGTGGGAGTCTGCTTGAAGATTCTCTCCCTCCACCCCTCCCCGTACTCTTGAGCACATGTGCGCTCTGTCTCTCTCTCTCCATCTAAAATAAATGAATCTTTTTTAAAAAAAAGAGCTTTATAAGTGAAATAAAGCTCTTTCCCCCTTCATCTGCTGTCATCCATTAAAGATTGTTTTATATATTTCTTTTGTCTGTTTACAGCTTCAGAACTAGCAAAAACACCAAGAAAAAATGTTTCATTCAGTTTGAAGAATGATCCTGAAATTATGATAAACATTCCTCAGTGTAGTAAGGGTAAGATTTTACCTCAGTTCTTTGAATAGAGTTTTCATAGTTGCTTCAAGTTATGCTTGAATTCCTTGTCTAAATGCATTGTTATATATTCTTTTCTGTTCTGAAAATTCATTCAACAAAATGCAGTTAATACCCAATTTGTGCCTTAGTATGCCCATATTTAGCTATCAATAAAAGGGGGAAATAACTGCTGATAGAAGTTGTGCAAATTGACAGGGCCAATTAGAAACACTCTTAAAACCCTATTATCGGAGGGTATGTGTTGTGGTGAGCGCTGTGTGTTGTGTAAGACTGTCGAATCACAGACCTGTACCCCTGAAACAAATAATACATTATATGTTAATTAAAAAAAAAACCCTATTATCATTTGCTTGAGTAAGCCAAGTGTTCATGGAGGATTTGCTTTAGCCACATTCTATTTGAAATAAGGCTTTGGGGGTTTGGAAGTCACAGTTGGTGGAGAATTGTGGAGCAGTTTAATGACACTAGACTAGATGAAAATTGAAGTACTTATGGTAAGTAATGCCTTTTTGTTTTATTCTTTAGGGCATTCTGCTTCAGACAAAGTTCAGTTGAAGGTAAGCAATGACTGAAAATAAGCAAAAACTTTAGTGTTACAAGGACATGAAAAATAGCCACTTCATCTCTTAATTTATATAGTGCTTTACAAGTTACAGGTATTTGCCAATTAGACACCTTATATCAGATGAAGCATCTGAGGTTCAGAGAGGTGAAGTGACTTGTCTTAAGTTCATCTAACTGGGAAGGAGAAAAGATGAAAAATGAAGCCAGGTCTTCTACACCCAACTGCTGTGTAGAGACGCTTAACCGTCTGAGCCACCCAGGCGCCCCTGCTGTGCCGTTTCTATGTCAGAACTATCCCTGGGTATTTTCATCTTAGTAGAGCTGGCCTGGAAATTTTATGGGTTTGGTTTGGTTTGGTTTTGCTTTGCTTTGCTTTTATACATAGTGTTCTTTTGTTTCTTGAGGGACTAATGCCAAGATCCATTAAATCCATTAATATATCCTTTCATAATTTACATTTGAAAACAAAGTTGGGGGCGCCTGGGTGGCTCAGTTGGTTAAGCGACTGCCTTCGGCTCAGGTCATGATCCTGGAGTCCCTGGATCGAGTCCCGCATCTGGCTCCCTGCTCGGCAGGGAGTCTGCTTCTCCCTCTGACCCTCCTCCCTCTCATGCTCTCTGTCTCTCATTCTCTCTCTCTCAAATAAATAAAATAAAATCTTTAAAAAAAAACAAAAACAAAGTTGGTTTTGGTAAATTTGTTCTAGGGTAGCTGAAAAGAATTGACAATTTTTATCCTCTCCTTTGTGTTTTTGTGATTTTGTTTTTTCATTATGCCTTGTCAAGTGGCCCTGTCTGGATATGAGCAAGCCCAGGGCATGGACGAATCCAGAACAATGAGTATGTGAGTGGTGAGTGGTGAGTGTGTCCAGGCTTGGATGGCTATAAATTTAGACATGCCTGGAATTGTGCATAGGCTAAGTTTGGGGAACCCCTTATAAGAATGAGTATAGACATTCAGGGCCATGGTGTGCAAATGTCCTATTTAGGCAAGTCTAGATGTGCGATTAGACATGTTAGAGCCTCTTTTGTCTTTGATAATGCTTTTTTCCTGTATTATATCTTGTATACTGTATCACTATGAAGAATAAAACTCATTCCCATAATCCAGTCAAGAATATAGATATATTAGCACGTTCTTTTTCAAGGTGTGGATCACAACACATAAGTGGATCTTGTCAATTACCCCAAGAAACCATCAGAAAACCTACCACAGTAAGAGACAACATCCCAGTGGCAGTCTTAGTGCACTTAGAAGGGACGGGGTTCAGGAGAGAATATGTATAGGGCTTGGGGATCTGGACTCAAAAGGCTTCAGGCACAGCTATCAAGATGGGAAACTGATATAAGACAAAACTCATTACAAGATATTTGAGGATTGGTGGACACAGAAAAGAGAGGGTCTTTTTTTTTTTTTT